AACCCTAGAGTCAATTCTAAAAAAAACCCTATTTGATTGACTCTTTGTTTTCTTATTCTGTATTTGTACATTTGATAATTTTTTTTAAAGATAGAGCTTTGTACCTTTTCTTACATTACATGTTATTTCTTTAAATCAATTCTCCAGCAGGTCAGGTTTTGAACTGTACTTCTGTCTTCAATTGTGCTTGCTGTTCCACCCCCACCAAACCCAGTTCATTTGGTCTGCAAGTTTAGTCAGCATATTTTCTGTTTCGTTTTCCAGATCATTATTAACAACATATCCCAGCAAAAGCCTATTCAATATTTGCATGTTTCCAATCTGTCTTCCATTAATTTAGGAAAATTCTGTCAGGCCAGATTTCCACAGCTGCTAATCAGAATAATCTGTGAGACACTATCCAAAACCTTATTAAAAACATAAGACTCTTCTATTTTGAGAATAAGATAAAGTGACAACATTTACTGCTCCTCTTCTATCCATGAGACCTCTTATCCTGTTACGGACCTAATTTAGACTGGATTGAAACACTTTTTCCTTGCAAATCCATTTTCACGGTTACTTCTGTTCCTGGTTTCTTCCAGATGTTCAGTAAAATTTCATTTATTCAATACAAATTTCCTTGGGAATTGAAGTTACACTGTCTCATCTATAATTTATTAGCTTTTACTTTTTATCTCATCTGAAATACAGACATTGTATTTTCTTTCCCCTTCTCTAGACTGCAATCTTCTATCTTTGTAACTGGTATTAATTTCTTAGCTATCTGTCTGGAGTTTTACTATACTAGCGAAGGACTGTAGAAATAAGTATTCCTAGTATTATCTGTTCTTTCTTACTGAACATCAAATCAGTGCTTTCTTAGTAACCTTACCACAAACACAAAAGGATTGCCTATTTCATTTACGACCCTTCTTCACTGTATTTTGGGACCTCATCTTTCCAGTTCTGTCCCAATATGGCTGTGCTAATTTATATTCAAGATCAATAAACTGATTAAGCAATCATTTGGTTTTAGTTTCCTGTTAAAGACGAAAAAACAGGCCTGCAAGAAACACTAAGAAAAACAGCCTAAGAAAGAGATAAAAGTTGAGGCCCTCTGAACTAAGGAACACCTCAAACAGTTGCAAGACAAAGCTATAGTCACACTGTGGATAGTGTGGAGGTCGAAGCTGATAAGGCTGCCCCACTAGCAGGATGCAGCTGGAGGGTGGAACCCTGTGGAGACAGGGCAGTTCTGCTCTGGTGCACCTGGTCAAACTTCAAGGGCCATCTGTCTAGTGACTGACCTTTGCTTCATTATCCACGAAATGCATATTAAAGTTGACACCCCTCAATATGCTAACAAAGACTAACATGATCATTCTAATTGCATCTTCCCATGAAACACCTTACCCTTCCCCATACATGGGATACATAGGTATGTAGGTCAACCTAGGGGACAGACCCAAGGAAAGCAGGTATAAATTGGGGGGGGGGGGG